AAACTTAAATGCTATGGAATACACTTTGAATCAAATTTGTGTGGATTCTGGAGCCATGTCGTCTTTCCATACATCTTTATCTAACACGTAGTCTTCAATTTTATAATATGATTTTTCGATCAAAATATTTTTAATGTAGTTTCTAAACTTAGGAAATGATAAACTTAATATATGCTCCGGAATCTTATTGTAAAACGTATACAGTTCCCCATAAAAGAGTTGTTTACCTTGGTTAAACGAAATCGTGGTACCATGAGTTTGGACTTAGCTCTAAGGTTAATATTATGGATATCTTCTTTCTTATTGAAATTATGTATATTTTTACGGGCATATAAAATGTTTGAGTAAATGTACTGTGATCTGAGTCATGATACCAGTCTCCTTAAACTTTTCTCTGAGAGATACCCGAGAGCCTAGACGGTACACAGAACGAATCGCTCGTTTTTGCAATACAAATATGGTTTGAATATCTGCCGCTTTACCCCACATGAGAATCCCGTAGGACATTATACTATGGATGTAAAAAACGATGTAAAAAATAAAATTACTTTAATTCGCTATCCTGTTCAATTTTTCAAATGCACATTACACGTTTTACCTTTCTAGTGTCGCGTCGATATGAATATCATGGTAGTAAAACATCATGATATTCAATACAAATCAAGATTCGTTAGTTTTATTTAATTTATTTATTTATAATTGCTTTACATATCATTACAAAAATATACTTATGAATATACTTACACACTAACAAACACATGCACCTTGACAGGCAGGAAAGGAAGAGGGCAGATATTAATTATAATTTATCTTGGAAATACTCGTCCACATTGTAATAACTTTTAGAAATTAATAGTTTTTTCAATGCATTTGTGAATTTGTTTGTTTGATTCTGTTTTTAAATATTCTGGGAGTTTATTATAGATTTTTATTGACATAGGATGATGTCCGGAACTGTGTATCTTCAATGTAGACATCACTTGTATCAGGTTATTTTTATTTCTCCATCTTATCTGCTAGCAGCAACGGCAGTTGACACAGTACTGGTCATTAGTCCATTCTCTTATTTGTTGACAGCTTTTGTCTTTTCAATGACAAAATACTCACACCCCACCCCACTAAGGAGCAATAAGTCGTAATTTCCCCTTATAACATTTACCCCAGTGGACTATATTTAAAATTAAAAGGTGACAAGCTGTTTTTCGACAAACGCGACAACACGGAATTCGACCTGTTGACCGTGAACGAGACGTCTGTGGAACCGCCCACAGACGACGGCAATTCCATCAATTCGCCACGCAACCTTGCACTCGAAGCTACCTTCATCAACCATAACTTTAGCCAACAGGTTTGTATCATTTCCAATACTGTTTGACATTTTCTTATGGTTTATTTGTAATCTTTTCGCAATACACATGACTAATGGCGAGCGAAGTCTATCAACTTTTGCGGTTAGCTTTGGTATTATCATATTATGAACATCTTTACTTGATTACCAGTCAATAGTGACCCTTTTATTATTATAATATATAAATTTCATCATCAACATTTCGCCTGATGCTGAAGTCGATGATGGAGCAATACACACCTAAATCGTGCCTATTCACTCTCGCCTTGAAAAGGTCCAAGTCATAGCGTTCAAGGAATAAGTCTGCAGGCATGGAATACCACCATAGCCATTCGCCATAAAAATGCAGAAGCGTAATTCTTCGTGCAAATCCTTGGAATATTTGGAATATCCACAAATTTTGCCTTGCAAAAGGTGGTGTTGGAACTATTTTACTATAAGCGAGAGTTGTTTAAAAATCTTTCCAACAAACAACTTATGCCGTCTTATATGAAAGGTGCAAAGATTTTATTTAAGGAGGAATCGCATTAAGTCGATTAGAAAAAGCTTTGTGTCCATGTAATTAAAAAAAAAAAGAGCCAAAAACATATTGAGCGGTTCACGTCGACACGATCTGAGCGGAATCGAAACGCATATCATAGTTTTCACTTCTCATGCTCTAAAGTACGTCAATACAGCCTTACATAGCCGGAGTAAAGTGCATGCTTTAATCCCTAGGGAGTAAAAAATACCACGTTTTTTAATTTACTTCGAGTACACACACTCAAACAGCCAGTAAGTACTACACTCGGTTTGAGTTCCGTGCCTTTTCCGCATATACGGTGGCGCCATATTATACGCCGCGTTAGTAGGTTTGTTGTATCTGTGTCTGGTTGGAAAAAAAATATCGCGAAAACTTCGGAATTTTGGTTCGTAATTTTGTTGTAAAGCGAAAACGATTGAAATTTATTTTTCATGCAATCTAAGTTAAAAGTAAAGTTTTCACCTCAATACTAAAAACCAATATAAACTCTGGGAGTAATAGACACCCTCACTACAGCTCGGGTTTCTAATCACCTTTGGTATATATTGGCTCGTTTTAGTCCCTCGATAAAAATATACTGTTTCGCTCTCATTGTACGATCATTCATAACGCTTTTCCTGACCGGCTCAAGCTGATTCCACGTTACCATCGCGCCACTACATGATTCCCTAAAGCAAAATTGTCCATGTTCCCAAAATTTAATGGACACAAGTTTAAATACACCTTCCCTTACTAAGTTACAATTGAGAAATCAATCAAAAAAATGTTTAACATTTCATTACGAAATATAGTAGAGCATAATATTTAAATATTATAAAATAATATGTTGTATTAGGTGCTGAAATCGGGCCCGAACGAGCCCAAGTTCAAGTTCCCCGAGCCAAACCCGTTTGTGTCCGAAGAGGAAGGCGAAGTCGCCTCCGTAGGATACCGCTACCGCAAGTGGAATTTGAACAATGGTGTTGTAAGTTTCTTGCTAGTTCTAAACTCCACATTATTACACTTAAATTGTAAAAAAGTTACAAATATAGTCACAGTTTGCTGGAAATTCAATGAATTATTGTTCAAAACATCGTGGCATAGTTACATTTAAAACTTAGCGTATGGTCCCACAAGCAATCGACTACATCGTAAAGGCAAAATAGCAGTTGGAAAACAGTTTAAATGCCGTCTGACGATTCTACGCCTACTGCATCGTACTTCCGACAACTAGTATATACGATAAGAAACTAACGTACAATTGGCGTGCAATTCTGTCACTGCTATTCGACTGCATTTCAACTGCAATTTTGTACACTTAAGATTGATGTGCCGTCATCGTAAATAAATCGTCGCTAAATTGTTCTACCATTTATTTCCACTTTTTTTTTATAATATTAAGTCACGGGACGAACAAGTCGTGCGCCTGATGGTATGCCACTCAAAGCTTTATAACGCCGAGATCGGAGGGGCACTGCCAATGCACCCGTCACCCTGAGACATAAGTTGACAAGTCCCATGTGCCTGTAATTTCACCAGCACCCTTACCCTTCAAAAACAATCCACAAACCGACACATGTTTCATTTGAGAATTGGAAAGAGAAACGTAAAATCTTAATGTATTTGTCCAGGTTCTGGTAGCCCGTTGCGAGCACGACGCGGTAATGCAAGGTCCACAGAACGAAACTCAGTTCCTCACGATCAAGGCACTTAACGAGTGGGACTCGAAGCTCGCAAACGGTGTTGAGTGGCGGCAGAAACTCGACACTCAGCGCGGTGCAGTGCTTGCCAACGAGTTGAGGAACAATTCTTGCAAGCTTGCTAAGTGGACCGTGCAGGTGAGTACAATGTGTAACAAGTAGACCCGAAAACGTATCTTTTATTATAACAAATTATTTTAGCAACAAAATATTTTTTTTAAACAAAATTATTCCTCCAAACAGGATGTGTTCGTCAATCGGACATTTGTATGGAGGACCAAAATTTCTTATCGCGGTTTATACATACAGTGGTGGTCGTTTAATTAGAAACACTTCTTATGATTGAATGAAGTTTAACTTCAACGTACAAATGTTCGTGAAAAATATATAAATTCAATATAAATAATCATGCAATAATATAGCCACTCAAATAAAAACTCATTAAATGCATAAAAAAATAAAACATATCTTACTTTTAATTATAAAATGAGTCTTACACAATGTACGAGTATATTTCTGTTCCTGGCCGCTTGGACGTCTAATTAGAAACATTTGAAAAAAGCATCTATAGCTCGTTATTTTTTTGAAATTGAAGAATAACATTTCTTTCTTGATGTTTTCTATTAATTTGGCGGCAATTCAAAATTTGATCTGAATTTAATTTTGTTCAAAATGGGCAAAAAAGTTGTGACGCGTCAACTAGGCAAATAATTGTTAATTTACATTTAAATGAAAAGTGGACGTACAGAAGAATAGCTGAGCATTTAAATTGTTCTGTGAAGAAAGTTTTTAATGCAATTGATCACTATAAAACTCATGGAACTGTTGAAAATATTCTTAGAAAGGCTAGGCCAAGAAAAACCTCTCCCAGAGAAGATAAGCTAATCGTTCGTGTTGCTAAAAAGACCCATTTAAAGGCTCAAACCAGATTAAAAATGAAGTTTTTTCGCCTGATGACCCCAGAAACGTCTCATCAAGACTGATACGCCGAAGATTAGTGGAAGCTAAATTGTTTGGAAGAACCTCTCGAAAGGTACCGTTTCTTACCAAGCAACATCGAGAGAAGCGATTATTATTCGCAAAAAAATATGTTAATTGGACGGTACGAGACTGGAAAAAAGTTTTATTTTCAGATGAAACGAAAATAAAAATTGTAAATTCAGATGGAAAGCGCTATATTAGACGTCCTGTAAACAGTGCTTTTAATTAAAAAAACACAAGGAGCATAGTCAAGCACGGTGGCGGAAACATTAAAGCTTGGAGGTGTTTTTCCGGATGTGGAGTTGGTACCGTTCGGAAGATTGAAGGTACAATGGATCAATGGCAGTACAAAAATATCTTAGAGGACACAATGATTCCCTACTCGGACGATCATTTGCCTGTAACCTGGATCTTTCAGCATGATAATGATCCTAAACACACGGCCAATAGCGTCAAATGTTTCCTTAGCGAACAGCGTATATCCGTTTTAGACTGGCCAGCAAATAGTCCGGATTTAAACCCGATAGAAAATCTGTGGTATATTGTTAAGAAGAAAGTCTCAAACAAACGTAACAGTCAAAACGAATTATGTGAAGCATTTGTTGAAGCATGGAATTCAATCCCCCTAGAAAAATGTATGACATTGATTGAATCACTGTCACGTCGTTGCAGAGCTGTTATTGAAAGTAAGGGATACGCCACTAAATATTAATTATAAGTATTGGTAGGCTGTGGATAGTAGCTATTTCGTAAATAAAAATACTAATTGCTAATAATTAAAAAAATGTTCTTTTTTTTTTACACTTTTTTGTTGTTGTTTCTAATTAGTTGTCCATTATTGTTTATACCTTAAAACTGATTTAAGTGTTTGTCCGTAATGTAATATTGTAACTGCACTTGTGTAGTGGGATTTATATTGGTTTTCTAATAAATAATAAATCGTTGAACCTATTGTTGTCCTATTTATTGTTTCATTTCAAAATAAAAACGATTGCGGTGAAG